TCCTCATCTTTGACCCCTTAAATTCCTTCTCCATTTGAGGACCTTCCCTGGCTGGATTTATTTATCATCCATTATTTAGAGTAAAATGATATGACTTTGACTTGGGGATGTAAGGTCCTCCCCATGCCATTGAACATGTTGGCTACACTCCCTCTTGAGCAAAAGCATACATCAGTGGTCAGCAAACTCATTAGTCAACAGAGCCAAATATCAACAGTACAACAATTGAAATTTCTTTTGAGAGCTGAAAACCGACTTCTGCCCATGGGCCATGAAGTCTCAATCGCACTCTACGTGTGTGCCCACAATTGGTATTTTGTGGAAGAGCCACACTCAAGGGGCCAAAGAGCCACATGTGGCTCGTGAGCCGCAGTTTGCCAACCATTGGCATACATGATGGGGGCGGGGGGGGGGGGAAGATTTAATAATTCTGTCTCAAATAAAGATGATAAACTCAAAAGGTAATGGACATAGTGGTAGGAGGTGAGAATGCCTCTTAGTCTAGTTGTCTGGTCCCTTTGCTCTCCATAAAAGGGGAAGACTTCCATGCCCCGACCTCATAATGTCCCCACATAGAAGTTCCCTGGTAGAGAAAAGCCTCAATCTAAATCTTCCCTTCTCTCTTCTACTTACTCTCTTTTAACATTTACTTCCTCTAGACAGCTTCTAAACTGAGTGATTCTCAAACTTGAGCATGCAGCACAATCACCTGGAGGGCTTGTTAAGACATAGACATCCGGGCCTCACCCTTAGAAATTCTGATTCAGTAAGTCCAGGGTGGGGCCTGAGAATTGGCAATTCTTCCAATTCTCAGGCAACGCTGATACATCATGTCCCAGGTCCTCTGTTCCACAGACAGCGCCCTGGTATGTTTAAGGCAGTGCTTCTTCTCAAACCTAAGAATCACCTGGGAATCCTGGAATATGGATTTATACTCACTGGATCTGGGGTGGAGCCTGAAGTTCTATATTTCTATCAAGCTCCCAGGTAATGCTAAAGTCTACATATGTGACCTTAGAATAGTAAGGTCTTAGAGAACTAAAAAGAATGCACCCTTCTCGTCCACGTAATGCAAGTCCTACTTACAAATCCATTATCCTCCTGTATACAATTCCCTTCTCATCCCCCTCCTTTCATTTACTATTCTGTTGTTGCTGTTGTTCCTGTAGCTTCTTTCTTTATTTTAAATTTTATTAAATGTATTGGGGGACATTGGTTAATAAAATCATACAGATTTCAGGTGGACAGTTCTATCATCTGTATATTGTGGTGTGTGCTCACCACCCAAAGTCAAGTCGCCTTCTGTCACATATATTTGATCCCCTTCACCCTCTTTCACCTGCCCCACCCCCTTTTCTTCTGGTAACCACCACACGGTTTTCCGTGTCCTCCCTCCCTTTTTTATTCCCTCCCTCTTTCCCTCCCTTTCTTCCTTCCTTCTTCACAAATTCCCAGATGGTACTGCTAGTCTGCAGAACATACTGAATATTAAGATTCTAGTAATGGACACAATTCTCTTCCTCCACGCAACACTTTAGAGCAGCCTCTCTCATCTCTCATGTATGTCCTTGACCAAGTCCATCTCACATGAAGCTAAAGCCTAAACCTGTACACACAAAACAAGATACCATCTGGGCATTTGGTAAGAAAGAATAAGCTGACATTCTTCCTTAATAGTCACCTGAGTTTTGTATTAAGTAATTCCCTATCTACTTCTGTGGTACTTACTATCTCTGTGTGTCTCTAAGTTCTGAGGTGGTTTATAAAAAAGTATATGGATGATTTATTTATTTTATAGTTTTGTAAACAATTTTCACTTTGCCATCTTTTGGGCTTTTCTTCTCCCTTTTCCTCTCACGGCTTTATTTTCATCCTTTCTCTTCCTTTCTCTCTTTGTTTCTTTCCCTCCAAGTGTTTTTTTCTTGTTAATTTTTTCAATATTTAAGATTCCCAACCCATGTAGGATTCCACCCTGGAATTATTTAAAAAAAAAACAAAAAAAAAAAAACAAAAAAAAACAAAAAACACTCAACCCTGACTTCTCAAAAAGAGACTCCACCCGGATTGTCTTGGAGCTAATGAGTCCCATGGTGAGGTCAGAAATGAGTCTAGGAAAATACATGTGGGCTCATGTCAGGGAAGAAAGAAGGCAGGCAAGTGCCAATGGAAAGCCTGGAATTTTTTTTTTTTTTTCTGAAAAATACATGACCAGGGGCTTTCTTCCAGGACTAGAAATTTGCACTGCACTCTATAACATATTAAAATGCTGTTCATTCTGTGAATGTGATCGTTTTCTGGGTTTTTAATAGCGCTTCCTCGGCTTACAAACAAACAGGCTTCTGGGAGGCCTCAGCTTATTCTGCCCCTGCCCTCGGGCTGGGCAAGCTACTAGCAGTGAGTTCTGTGAAAAAGTCAACCAGCACTGTTGGGAGCCATCAGAGTTGATATAAGCAACTCCATCTTAGAAAATAGAACTCCATCTTGGGAGTTAAGTTTCCAACTCCTCTTACAACTCACAGTCACCAGAGATCACGTGGTGCCCTTCGGTTTGGCCAGAAGCTAAAGATAATTTATCGTAAGGACACATCCTGCTCCGGAAGATCCCTACAACGTCCCCTCCCTGACCCTCCCTCCCATAGTTTGCCCCCCGTGGCAACCTCCCCCTACAGCCTGTATTATTTATTATATATATATATATATATATATATATATATATATATATATATATATATAATAATATATATTATATATATATATATATATATATATATTATATATTATATATTATATATTATATATTATATATATATTATATATTATATATTATATATTATATATATATATTATTGTTGAAGCTGCAATATACATATATATATATGTATATTGCAGCTTCAACAATAAAATTCGAGGCTTGATCAGAACCCTGTCTTGCCTCCATTTCTTCACGTCTCCTGTCCTCTATCATTCCCTTCTAGGTGCCTCCTCGCCCCCACGTTGATCTCCTGCTGGTCGGGACACAGCACCAAAAAGCAAAGTACTGCCCAGCCTTGCTCCCTTCCAGGAACCCAGGGAGGGCAGGTATCTGTCTGTTTGTCACACAGTAGCTGTGGCTGAGAGTTAATTCTGTACTGTGTTCTTCCCAAATGCAGTGAAGTTCAATTCAAGAACAGCTCTTTTTTTTTTTTTTTTTTTATGAAAGGGAAGGTAGTCATGGTCAGTGTCCTCTTGGTGCAGAAGCAAAAGCAAATCACTCTGACTCCAATTCATCCAGGGCTTGAAGGCTCTTCTAAGAGATGTGCATGTTTTAGCTGGTGCTGTGTTCCTCCCTATGTGACAGGTGGCCCAGTCTTGGATTCTAAATGAATTCTAGCGAGGATAAGTTACACAAACTTGTTTCACTTTGATCAACTCATCAGTAGAGTGGACAATCGTCTTCACTAACTGGGTGCTTGTAAGTTGACGAAAATGAAAGTGATGCCTGGAAACAAACCCACACGTCTTATCAGCGTTTCTTAACTGAGACCTTGGAAGATGGTCAGGATGTGTAAACATTGCCTTTCCTTCTTGGGTGGAAAAGAGAGGAAAGAAAAGGGAGGCAGACATGATTCATCTCCAATATGTAATCATCAATAAGATTCCTGGCTGCGATGGTAGGAGCAACAACATCAGGGGTCTCAAACTCAAAAAGCACTAGAAGCCAAGTCATATAAATAAGAGCAGCACCACAGAGGCAAAGAAGAAAGCAGAAAGCAGATCGTGGACAAACGCATTAGAAATGCTTCAAATGCTTGTAAAGTAGCTGCACACCCACAACATCAACAAAATGGCACCTTGAGTTCTGGAAGTAAGAAGGAGACAGTGGGGTTGGGAGTCAAATGGATGGACCGTGCCCCCTCTGAGGGGCAGCCTCTCTCTCTCCACCTTGCAGTTACCATGAAACACAGGACTTGAGGCCCCGTGTGGGCCAGACCTCACAACTTGTTTCAAGATGAGGAGGAGGCTTTGTTTATTCTAGAACACTGCAGTTTATAAACGTTGGCCAACACTGTAGTATGGCCAGCGCAGTGTGGCCATATTTGGGGGGTTTTCTGACACTCAATTCTGAAAATGACAAGTCATCATGTGCAGGGTTTGGTGAACTGCTGCTGCTTTTGTCAGCTAAGAATATGCAACAAAGTCCAGGTGGCATGGCTCAGTGGCTGAGCATCAATCTATGAACCAGGAGATCCTGGTTCAATTCCCAGTCAGAGCACATGCCCGGGTTGTGGGCTCAATCCCCATTTGTGGAGTGTGCAGGAGGCAGCCCATAAATGATCCTATCTCATAACTGATGTTTCTATCTCTCTCTCCCTCTCCCTTCCTCTCTGAAACCAATAAAAATAAATTTTTAAAAAATAATTTGCAACAAACACCGTATGTGGTCTATACAGCTTCAACTATTGTCAAGGCCTTTCTAGGAAAAGTGTGCCAGCCCCTAATCCCGTGCACCCAAGTGAAGCTTCTTTGCCTTGTAAATAATTAGAGCAAAATAACCAAGTGTAGGGAATCTGTGACTCATAAAACTAAATTTAGAGGAAACTTATTATAGGAATAAGGCGTTATTGTTTACCTCAACTGCAAAATAACCCCTTCACAACTCTCACTGATAATAACGCTCACCCATCTACTGATACCTTGCTGAGTTCTCATTTGGTGGTTGCAGGCCTGGGGAAGGGAGAGGGCTGTATGTAAATGGGTTTCAGGAGGTCAAAAATAGACATAACTGCGTCTGCAGTTGGCTGAATCTTGGCTGACCACACGTCAACTAATAGTCATGGCATAAAAACGACATTAGTTCTAAGTCTGCCAAAGTTCTAGGTTCTGAGATGTCAGATTTAATGATGTCATAGAGAAGCTACCCCCAAGTTCCAGCTAAGGTCCTATAATGATATGACACAGCTACAGGGAGCCAGCTGAACCAACTGGAGAGTTTCATCAGCAATTTCCTGGTGTAACTCATGATGCAGTATATTAAAGACGAGGTAAGTACTTAATGGCTTCATTGAATATTTCAATAGAGACCATCCTGAAACAGATTTTTATCAACTTTAATAATTCTTTTCACCCAGCTGGCATGGCTCAGTGGTTGAGCATCAACCTATAAACCGGGAAGTCATGGTTCGATTCCTGGTCAGGGTACATGCCAAGGTTGCAGGCTTAATCCCCAGTGTGGGTTATGCAGGAAGCAGCTGAACAATATTTTTCTCTCATCATTGATGTTCCTTTCTCTCTCTCTCTCTCTCTCTCTCTCTCTCTCTCTCTTTCCCTCTCTGAAATCAATAAAAACATATTTTTTAAAAAAGTTATTTCTCCACTCTTTAAAAAAGAGTTATTTGTTGCTTTGTGGCAAGAGGAGATTTTGAAATGCTTGTTCTTCATGCTGTTTCTGAAAAGTGGCACCACCTAAAGAATAGCCAAAGGGCAAATCGATCCAAAGGGGCTTTGTCTCTCCCTATTGCTCATTTCTCACCCCTGACTCTGGCTAGATCCAGACCAGCTCCTAACATATCCCATTCTGATCCCACAGACTGTACCTTGGCTGTACTTGGAAAATTCTCTAGAGGTAAAAGAGCTCACGTACTTCTCTTATTCTGGGAAAGAGAACAGAAGAGAGATTCCTATGGAGTAGGATAGGAAAAATGATCAGTAATTCTCTCTCATCTCTGATGTTTCTATCTCTCTCTCCCTCTACCTTCCTCTCTGAAATATATATATATATTAGCACACATTTGCTAATGCTTTTGGTGCTTTGTTTTTGAATTTTCTGGGAGTCTCTCAGTATAACCCATTCCCTGAGAAGCCTACCCACCCTGAGAAGCCTTGTCCATCACCTCCTCAGGAGGGGTCTGCTCTCTCCTCCATGTCTTTATTCAGCAGCCCCCTTCTCATCGATGTGGACCTTGGCCATCCAAACTACAATTGTAACCCAGCTTCCATAATTTCTTCCAACTCTATTCTTTTCCTTTTCTCTTTATTAGCAATGATGCCTAACACACGATATATGTTACTCATTGATCTTTCCATCAATCCTACCATCAGCTACCCCTCTAAAATATAAGTTCCATGAAGGCAGGGAATGTTTTGTCTTGTTTTCTATCCTAGCAGTATGTCCAGGACCTGGCATAGAACAGGCCTCAATAGGTACATATTGAGTCAACGCATATACTAGGGAATATTCTCTTCAGAGAACTTAGCCAACTTCATCACTCACACTCGGCCAGTTTATACCCTAACAGCTGCTGAGATGTGGGGGTGTTGGGATTTGTGAAGATGGATGGGATCTACCTTATAACTTCAGAAGCAACTGAACAATAGAGTCCTGGTGTGGCTCCCTGACAAGTTAATTTTTCCATATCATAGAGCAGCAATTTTCAACATTTTCCACCTCATGCACACATAAATGAATTATTAAAATTCTGTAGCACATCAAGAAAACATATTTTTGCCCATTGGAAAAAATAAATAGGTATAACTTTGATTCTTTCACATTGGACAGCTATTGTGTTGGCACTTGTCATCTTTTTATTTCACAATCTAAGGAAAAATAGGTCAGTGCCCCCTCACTAGTTAGGTATTGACTATTTTAAAAATTCTTGAGGCACACCGGTTGAAAATCGCTGTCCTAAAGAATCAGTATTATGGAACGGAGTGTATCTTTTTTTAAAAATATATATATATTATTGATTTTTTTTTTTACATAGAGGACGAAAGAGGAAGAGAGAGTTAGAAACATCGATAAGAAAGATCAATCAGCTGCCCCCTGCACACCCCCTATTGGGTATGTGCCCACAACCAACTTACATGCCCTTGAGTGGAATCGAACCTGGGAGCCTAGAGTCCGCAGGCTGACACTCTATCCACTGACCAAACTGATTAGGCCAGAATGTATCTTTTTTAAGCCATCAGTTTCACCTGCTTGAAACTAAACCAAATGGCAATGTACACGTCAAGGCTCCCCTATTATACAGAGATGGGCAAAAGAAGTTTTACAGTTGTGAGTACATGAAACACAGACTTTATTCTTGTATTATATATTTTTCCATATGAACAACTGTAAACCTACATTTGCCCACCCCATAGGGCCATGTGCCATTGGTATGGAATTAACCACTTGCCTAATTCCAGTGGTAGGACCTGCTTGACTTAATCCAGTTGGTGATCTCATCCCCCCAATGTAATGATTGGTCCAGGGATGAACACATGATACAATGAGGACCTGTGAGAGGGAGATGAAGTTCCATTGCTGTAAAGAACTGGGAAGAGACTGTGTAGCAGTTAAGAAAAATTGACCCTGGAATCAGGCTGCCTAGGTTAGCAAACCCAACTACACCACTCACCAGCTGGTTGGCCATGAGAAAAATTAATCCATTTTCATCTGTAAAATGGAGATAATGCTAATAACACCAACTCCATAGGGTGGTTTTAAAGATGAAGGGAGAGAATACCAGACACAGAGTAAGTTAACTACTGTTGCAATTCCAGTCAGAAAAGGAAAAATAAATCTTGACTAGAACACTAGATATTACTAAATATAGTTAACTAAACGTTCCAAGATCACTTATCCGGTGCCAGTCAGAGTCCGTGAAGGTAAAGGAATGAATCTGGATTGAGTTCTGTAGGGGCTTGTGGGGAGATAAGCCATGCCCCTACCATCACTGTTCATAAAGCGAACAAATACAGATACTGTGACCTGAGGTGGCAGGAAGGGAAACCCTGCACACTTAGATGAGATGGGCAGGTGATGGAAAATTCACTTAAGACATTCAGCAGGAAGCATGTCCAACCATTAAATGTTTGGTTTTGATGACAGCTTTAACAATGATCACTCCCCCCAAACAAAACAAGCAATTGAAGTTGTTAGATTAGTTATTCTTTTAAATCTCACTATTAATGTGTGATTAGGTCCTTGTTTAGAAAATCAAATATAGCCCTAGCCTGTTTGGTTCAGTGGATAGAGCATCAGCCTGCGGACTGAAGTGTCCTGGGTTCCATTTCAGTCAAGGGCACAAACCTCGGTTGCAGGCTCCATCCTCAGCCCTGGTCAAGCCCATGCAGGAGGTAACCAATCAATGTGTCTCTCTCATAACAATGTTTCTCTCTCTCTCCTCTGCCTCCTCCTCCTCCTCCCTTCCACTTTCTCTAAAAGTTAATGGAAAAATATCCTCTGGTGAGAAATGACACACAAAAAATCAAATATAGATGTTCACCTTGAACCATGCAACCTCACCCTTCACCCCTCATCTCTCGCTGGCCAATCCCATTTTCTCCCCACAGGTAAACAACCATTACCAACAATCCTAATTTGCAGGGGAGCAGTCCATCGCTATGTGTACTTAAAAGGTTAATATATTTGACCTCTGGGACATTTAGAAAAGGTTGGGCCACCTAGAGAACAATGATGTGGGGAAGCTGGTTAAGGTGTTTAAGAACTAACCTGTCATTTTATACTTTGTAAAACTTTATGAGTCTCAGTGATTGTGCACATTTCCTCATTTATGTTCTGGTCTCAGGAAGAATTAAAAACACTTTTGAAATCTGCCGGCTGCAAACTTGTGGTGGTTGAATTTTCAGCAAAGTGGTGTGGTCCTTGCAAAAAGATTTGTCCTCTTGTTCATGTAAGTATCATCAGTCTCTATTTCACAGCTTTAGAAGGAATTTAATGTGCATGAATTCAAAGTCCCCAAATATTGTTCCCAGAAAAATCTTAAGTGTGGCACTTATGAGCCATTATGAAATTATGGTACACACCCCAGAAGATTAAGACTATTTGTCTATGGATAATTCTCCAAGGAACATCAGATGTGCAAAAGGAGACAATTGTACAAGTGAATGGATTATTCATAATAATGACATTTTACCAAAGTTCCTGAGTTCAGAACTTCTCAATATTGGATTAGATTCTAGATAAACATGATACTTTTAAAAATTATAACATGAAAAAATAAACTACCCCCAATCCTTCAACCCTATTATCAAAACATATATCCCTTACATCATATTTCTTTTGTATCTTTGATCTACCTTATTAAATATTTTAGTAAAATATTCTACTAAGTAAAATATTCTACTTAGTAAAATATAATCATATATATATTTTAAATGCCCAGTGCATAGTTTGCTAACCCTGGGCTGAGTGAATCATCAGGCATATAATTCAGAGCATTTCTGGAAAGGAAACGTTACAAATTGCTTGGTGTGTTCAAGGTGAGGCAAGCAGTCTGTGAGGCAAACTTACAATGTGCACAGTGGAAGTGGCCTCAAATGAGTTTCAAAAAGGAGGCTGAGGCCTGATCAGAAAGGACCTAAGTAAGAGAAAGTAAAGGCAGAGATCTGTATTTTTCGTATTTTTCAGACTACAGAAGACATATTCTCTCACTCCCTCCCTCCCACTCCCCCCCCCCCTCCCCTAGGAAAAAGCCACCATCTCTCCCTCCATCCCACAGGGTATCCGGGTCTACCATACACATTTCATTATTTATTTGCTTTGTGTTCTTTTCCAACTTTGAAACTCTGGTCTTCAGTTTGGTTCTTCAGTCTCTGGTTCTACCATGGACCTTTGCTTGACCTTGGCATTATCTGACATTTGACTTTGGTGCTTCAAATTCTAGGCAGCAGTGAAAGGCCAGAATGATGCTTAGCTGTCTTGAACACCCTTTTTGTTCATTTCTTGGTTTTGCAAAAAAATATATATATATATATATATATATATATATATATATATATATATATATATATAATGTGTAGTTTAATATTAACACTAAGCTAACAGGAAATGTTTGTTCTTTTATTTTTCAAGGCAATGTCTCTCCATTACCAAAATGTTTTATTTGCTAATGTGGATGTCGACGATTCTCGGGTAAGAGTCTGAAATCCTTCCACGTAAAGCCCAAATGTGATGTCCTTGAGAGCATTGGGTCAGTAATTATAGTCCATCTAAAGTCAAGTAGAATTTCACAATTCTTCCTGATAAAATATTGAAAACTCCCTCATAATGCTCTTGTATGTTTTGTATAGCTTTAAAAAAACCAAACAAACAAAAAGCCAGCGAATGTGTGGCTCTCCTGCCGCCCTTCCTCCCCTCCCCGCTCATACTGTAGCTGACATCTCTGAGGTGTCCCAGTGTTCTCTGGACTCTGCTGGAAACCTGCTCCGTGGGGTGGCTGGAGGCAGGCAATACCAGATGGCTAGAGGTGAGATCGAGGCAAAAAGTAATTTCGCCCCTGTAATAGATTATTGTTAATCAATTTCTAACTCAATGCATTACACACATTTTATTTTTTAAATATCTTTTTATTGATTTCATTTGAGAAGAGGAAAAGAAGAGAAAAATAGAAACATCAATGAGAGAATCATCAGTTGGCTGCCTCCTGCACGCCCCCTACTAGGGATTGAGCCCGCAACCTAGGCATGTGCCCTGACAGCCTGGTTCATAGGTCCACGCTCAGTGACTGAGCCACGTCAGCTGGGCAGCATTACACACACATTAATATATTTTACTTTTCTCTAGCTATATCTCTTTTTTTTTTTTTGGGAGTTTTCTAAAACTCACAAGCAATTCCAGGAAATCCTTCCCTTGTGTCCTTTCTCAGCCCATCCCCCTCCAAAATAATGAGCCATGGGTCTCCAATCAAAATGTGCCTTATTAATAATGCACACAGTGTGTCTGCAGAATTACTCTTCCCAACATTTGTCCACTTATAATGAGGAAAAGTACCATTAACTAGTGACCTATTCATACCTTAGGTTAAATTTGAGCTTCAGAATAATGAAAAATCTGCTATTCACCCACTCTGCCCTTTCATACGTATTCTGTTCTCGTGGGTATATATCTAGGAGTGGAATTGCTGGGTCCTATGGTTACTCTATGTTGAAATTTTTAAGGAATTGACAAACCATTTTACAGCCCCACCAGCAACATCTGAGTATTCTGATTTCTCCACAACCTTACTAACGCATTCATTATTGCTTGCTTTTTTTTTTTTTTTTTTTTTGTAGCTCTTTGTCTTTTAAGGTTAACCAAAATGCACAATTTTCTTTCCTGATAGCAATTTATTTATTAGTTGTTGTCATGGAAATTATAATTTAATGTGTGTGTGTGTGTGTGTGTGTGTGTGTGTGTGTGTGCGCGCGCGCGCGCGCGCGCGCGCGCTGTAGGTGACAGGAGAGAGATTTGGTGCCATAAAGTGCTAAGAATTTTATGGAGAAAAGCTCAATTCTGTTGATTCTGTGGATGGCCAATTTTCTTTCAACTGTAAACAACATAAATAAAAACTGGCATTGAAAGCAGATTTTAACAGTTTGACACAACTGAAATTTTTACGTTTGTCTTGGGTTTTTGTTCTAGAATTTTTACATAGGTGGTCAGTGAAGGTTTAAAAAAAAATAAAAAGTAAAAGAAACAGGTAAGTCATGTACTTAAAATGGAAGACCGTCAGATAACCGCATGCCTCAAGTGTGAGTTATAGATACCTTTACTCTTCCTTTTAGTTTTTGTGCTTGCAATATTCTCCCTGTTCCATTGGGGCTCTCTGCGATCTTTTGTAAACTCTCAAAACAGAGCGCATTTAGTCATTCAATCCATTCTGTCTTGGCTTCCATCTCTCACCTCTCAGCTCCGGGTAATAAAGCTCAAGAATGCTGGGCACAATCATTTTTTATTGTAACATTTCTGGGAGCTTTGATATGTTAGAAAAGTTGTTGGCAGGAGAATCTATAAATGTCTGCTGTCCCTGAGCTTTCATACCGATCTCCTGAGAAATCACCAAGCTCCATGCTTAGTAAAGACAGAGGATACCAGCCAAAACTGGTTTGGCTCAGTGGAAAGAGCATTGGCCTGCGGACTGTAGGGTCCCGGGTTCAATTCTGACCAATGGCATGTACCTTGGTTATGGGATCATCCCCAGTGGAGGGTGTGCAGGAGGCAGCTGATCAATGTTTCTCTCACATCGATGTTTCTAACTCTCTATCTTTTTCCCTTCCTCTCTGTAAAAATTTAATTAAAAATATATTTTTTAAAAAAGACAGAGGATACCAAAGTTGTGACTCCATGCCCTTTCTTTCCTTTCCCAGGATCTGGCCCACATTTGTAATGTCAGAGTAATACCCACATTTCAGTTTTACAAGCAATCCAAAAAGGTATGTTTCCATGATAACTGACAAAGTTGAAAGAGATTATAGAACTATCAGAGTCTCAAAAGGATGAAACCACTGTGTTTGTTTTTAATACCTAGCAATGTAATTCTTAGTTTCTGAACTTTACATATTGGCAATGCGTAAAAAAAAAAATGCATGAATTATAATAGATCTCCCTATTCAAACCCTCTGAGGTGTCCAAATTCGTAAGAAATACTCCACTCTTATCTCTATCTGAGGCAGAACCCTTCAAAAGAAATCTCACAAAAAAAGGACATGATGAAATTGTCATGCAAAATGTATACACATTTTTAACAACAGTTGGGGAAATGTTAATTAAGCAAAAACCATCGCAAGGCTATAAAGTCCATTGGTGGACAAGGTAGGTTCTGGATTCAGATTTCTATGGTCCAAGCACCAGAGCCACCACTTTCTAGAAGTGAAGTTAAGAACCCCTTTGGGTCTTAGTTTCCCTGGCTATAAAAACATGAATCATCATAAGCTTTTCCCCTCATGAAGAGGATATGAGAATTAAATGAAGTAGCATGAGTTAAGTTTTTAGACCCATCCTGACACACTTTAATCACTCGGTACATAATCTCATGAAGATATCAATGGAATGAAATGTCTGAAATACTTGGTGTGTGATAACACTGGTAATTTTCAATTGAAAAATGGCTGAGAACATGGATGACTGTGCATACATTATGCAACTCTGTTCAGAGAAACAAACATTTAATTGCCCTTCACACATAATTCCATTGTTGGGAAATTTTGCTTCAGATATACTGCAAGGATAGATAAACAGCTATGTGCATAGTGATTGTCACATTATTGCTAATAAAATATGGAAGGAAGCCAGATGCCTTATTTTTTTAGTAGAATGGCTAAGTGATTTATGATATATCTACGCTATGAAATAGTATCAATTAAAAATTTTTATGAAGAATACATGTACAGTAAAAAAAAAATCATGCTTAAACTCTCTAAAGAGTATGTCTGCAATATGAAGAATAAAAGCACATGATATGCTATGCTAGCTGTAGAATTTTATACTCAGCTTCTATTTGTATATGTTTACTGTATATAATCAGTATAATAGATTTAAATTATGTTTAAAAAAAAAAAAAAGACTACCTAGTCCCTCTTGTGAGCTTTTACTTGAAAATTGAAGCTATTTAATATATACATTCATAACCACCCCGCCTACATCTCATTTTGTTTGTGTTTTCCCCTCTTTTATCTACTTCTTAAACCCATTCATCCACCACATCTTGACCGAATTCTTTCTATTCTGCTCCGGGCCTCCATTCACTGGCAAAGAACCACTGGCCCTTTTATTTTTAATGTAGATTGTACCAAAATCCTTATGGCAATTCCTTTTAGATCATAGACTTTGGAAAATGTCTGCCTCCCTTAAAAATATAGTCCTCTCCCTTGCATTCAATCAGAAGGCTTAGGGAATCCCTTGGGTTTCTGTTTTCCCATTGCTGTCAAGAACCTCCGCCTTACCTCCGTCACTCAGATACCAAGGCCTCCCTTAGCCAGGTTTCTGGCATTCTCTACACAGCATCATCCTTTCAAGGTTCCATTATTCTGTCTTGCTCTTGATTCTAGCTTATTTCAAATACCTTCAAGGTATATAGAACATAAACAAAATAAAACGTTAAAAAGCTAAAGCCAATTCAGCCATGTAACAATGACCTGGGGCCATGCTGTTTCAATGAGCATTTCTTAGTGCTGGCAGTTTCCATCCAGAGGTTGAACAAACACATGGCAGAGATGCCCTATAAACAATAGCTGTCTTTGTTTCTCAGTTTTAGGGCACAGGACAGCCAAAACCTATTGCAGGTTATAAAGTGGGCTTGTTCCTGCCTGGTGTGCTCCTTAGTGTTCTAGTAAGAGTAACTGTGTGTTGTTTTTTTTTAAAAAAAGTCTGTTGTTGTGGGGTCTTCCAAGTGGGGCATCCAAAACCTTCCCTGGTTTTTGTAACCAGAATTTTATACTGTATTTCATTGTAAAGTAGTTCATAAATTTGGTTTATAAACCCTCTTGAGAGCCTATAAACTCTATCCAGCAAAATGCACATAAATCAGAATGTGCATGTAATACTAGGGTATTTGATGAGCCTCTGAAGGTGATCAATAGATCCCCTTGGTTAAGGCTTCAGTTCCAGATCAAAATTGGTGTACGTCCATGGAGGAGGGAAAGGTAGAATGACAAAGACTTAGCAAGTCTTGGCCAACTGCGTGAATAGGGGCCACTGTCAGCTGTCGGTTCCTCCTTTTATTCTTTGTTAGAATAAAATGCACGTCAGTCCTCTCCTGAGAATGATGAGATATGGAGAGGTAGATGCTAATCAATGAATTATTCGCAAAACAATAATTCAGAAGACCTGAGCTCTTGTCATAAGTGGGAGGTAACATTTGCCTCCTGAAGCACAAGGCCCTTGTGGAGGTCGGAGGTCGTGGAAGTCATTTCTAGCAAGTATGCTCCTTGAAGCAGGGAGAGGGGTGAAAAGAATTCTAAGTAGGCAGCAACATTGTGTGCTAAAAAGAGGCCGGTGTTGGAGGCAGGAGTCACACACTCAGTGTCCTCAAGGGTCAGGCAGGGACCATAAGTGAGACAGTAGGAAGTGAAGAGCAGGGTGGTTCCTGGAAAATCACCTCCCAAATGCTCTCACTGTCAAGCTCATAGAAAGTCGTGCTTGACTCGCCTGCTAAAAAGAGTATCTGCAGATACTCATTTCCACCATTTCTGGAGTCAGACAGCTGTAGGTTGGATCCCAATTCTTCCTCTTATTACAATAGTATGTGACCTTGGGACTATGCTTTAACCACCTTGAGATTCAATGTTCTGCTCTGTAAAACAGGACTCTATCTTGTGTCTTTGATTGTCATGAAAGTGTACATAAGGTGCCCGAGCACTGGACTTGGTACAAAACAGCTGCTAGGGTCTCCCTGTGTACCTATCTTCCTGAAAATGTAGAAATAGAGAGAAATTTGGAAATAACTGTTGTGAGATATCTCGACAGCTCTTTGAATAACTATAATAAGCTAAGTCGTCTTAGCATTGGGGAGTTACCGACCCAGCGACATCCAAGTTGTTAACTTGTTAACCGAGCGGGACCTATAAATACGTCAAACGTAAACAATATCGGGAATGGGTATTAATACGTCCTTGAAATATATGTTGCGCCCCAAGAGGGACTGTATATATTTTTTGTAATCTTTTTTTTTTAATATTTTATTGATTTTTTTACAGCGAGGAAGGAAAGGGGGGGATAGTTAAAAATATCGATGAGATGAGAGAGAAACATTGATCAGCTGCCTCTTGCACACCCCCCACTGGGGATGTGCCGGCAACCAAGGTACATGCCCTTGACTGGAATCGAACCCAGGACCTTTAGGTCCGAAGGCCGACACTCTATCCACCGAGCCAAACCGGTTTCAGCTATTTTTTGTAATCTTTATCATTGTTTGTAAAATTTATAATTTTTTAATTGACGTGTCCATTTTTTTATATCGGTATTCTTTTCTACTTTTTTTGTAATTTTGTATTTTTCTTTGTGTTTTATATATATAAATAAACGAATATATATATATATATATATATATATATATATATATTTCATTTATTTTCATTAAGAATAAATTTTAAAAAAATATGAAATTATGTCCTCCAGGCGTAATGTACTGACACGTCCTAGTGAAAGAGTACGCGCCCATTACAGGTTGCATCATTAAAAAGGGAACTCCCCGGTTAACAGGTTTAAGGAAGGGTCCTGTGTGAGAAGGGAAAAAAGAACTCTCCCATGGCCTTCAAGGTCCCAAAGGGTGCAGATCACTAAAAGGGGTTGCATATCAGCTCCATAAGCAGCTGATCCACGGGCCAAGGGTAATTGACTGGAGGAGGCAAGAACTGAGTGAGATGGAGGGAAAGCCGGAAAAGTGCAGCGAGCACTCTTGGCCATTTAGCAAGCTTTGGGGCTGTTGCCAAAGGTGCTGCTCTCTGTGTTAGCAACTCAAAGGCAGTAATGGCTTTGTACCTCTTTTCTCCAGGGCAGGGATTATTAGGCTGAGGTAAGAGCAGGATATTGAAAGTGTAGGAAAGAATCCTGTCTTCATTTGAATGTTTGATGTTTTGTTTATCATGGATTTTTGCATTAATTTCTAATATCATTAAAATATAAAATACCAGAGGCCTCATATTTTAATAATACTAGAAATTCTTGAGAGAGTAGGCCTTCCTTCCTTCGCTGGTGGCACCAGCTTCCCTCGGCACCCGGGACCCAGGCTTCCCTCGCAGCCCTGGCTTCCTCCAACTAAAGTCAAAAACTTCTTTTCCTATTCTAGTGGGGCTTGAAATGAATTCCTACATTGGACTCATGCCCCACGTCCCCTTTAAGAGAAAGCCACACTGTACTGAGTCACTAGCTCCCACGCACCTTCCTGTGTGCCCTCAACAGCGTCCTCTGGTGACAGAGATTACGGGTTGGCCAGCTACAGCCCGAAGGCCAAACCTCACCCTCCACCAGTTTTTGTAAATAACATGTTACTGGAACACAACCTTGCCCGTTTGTTTCAACATTGCCTGTGGCTACTTTCGAACCACATAGCAGATTTGAATAGTTTCGACAGAGACCACATGGCCTGCAAAGCTAAAGGAGGTATTATCAGCCCCTTTACAAAAAAGCTTGTCTAACTCTGACACAGAAGGAGAAAAGCACTTTGGTCATTATTTATGCCACCAAGGCTCTAAGATACACACACACACACACACACACACACACACACACACACACACTGAGTTTCAAAATTAGCTACAACAGAATGAAGTTAGTGTTTACCTGAAATCTCGCTATTGGAACAAGCTGAGAAAAGGTGCAATGTGGATTAGAAGAAGAAAAAAGATGATAGAGCGCTTTTGCATGCTCTGTTCTTGAATTCACATCCGTAGAAATCCAAGCTGTTTGAAACAGACTGTTCCAAGGAGGCCCTGGCTTCTTGGTTTGCTTTTGCTCCAAGAATCTTAACCAACCTGCTCACATCTGCAAGGTCCGGCTGGCTGTTGGGAAAGTCAAAGGGGAAGTGTGCAAACACCTAGGGAAGGAATGGGTCTGGGTGGAGTCAGAGAAGTGGCCAAGGTAGGAACAAGCTAATCAACACTGTCCACCTTGAAGTACAAGGTTAAGGGACTTTTAAAAGTTCTCCTATTAGACATATCCTTCCCATCTTGTTAATAAAACTGACTGCCTTAGTCCATAAAACATCCGTAAAGAAAAAGAACATCTTGTCATTACAGATTACAAACATGTATTGTACATATAAACATTTCTACACCTCTCCCCACAACATGTCTCATGTGGGCCAGTGGGTTGGGCTTTTTTGTTTGTATTGTTATTGTTGCTGTTGCTTTGAGGATTTTGTTGTTGTTGTCACTGGTCTGAACTCAGTACAGATGGCGGGAAAATACTCAAATTTTCATACAATGGGTCCAAATATAACTTTAGTATCCACTCAACCACACTGCCTACCAATGGGCCATAGCATCTATCATAATAAAAGCATAATATGCTAATTAGACCAGACGTCCTCCCGGAAGAGGCCAGGGCTGCAGCCACCTCGGCTTAGAGGGAGGGACTGAGGCAGCTGCCTGCAGCTACAAAAGCCTACTCCTGCACGAATTTCATGCATCGGGCCTCTAGTTTTATTATAATTATTCTCTGAGGGCATCAGTAATCAGACTCCTTCATTTGTCTGTCTGTTAAGAAGGGACCACTGACTCCAGCCTCTTTGCATTTTCCTAGTAACAGTAATAGATGTTTTATAGAAGATTTGGTGTTTTTAGAAAAGAAAGAAAGAAAGAAAGAAAGAAAGAAAGAAAGAAAGAAAGAAAGAAAGAAAGAAAGAAAGAAACCCTGCCTCTGGTTGCAGCTGGGTGATGGGCAAATGGGGAAGTTGGTTTCATTGGTCTATTTTTATGTGTATTTGAAAATGACCGAGTAAGAGGTTTTTTTTTTTAACTGATGTTGCACACAGGTGTTTCTGTTGTGCATGGACAGCCACCCCATGTCCAGAGGTCTCTGTGGCCTGAGCTTATAAATGTGGTTGGCAGTCACCAGGAGGGTGCCAGCAGCACAAGGGAAATGCAGGCTGGGAGAAGACAGAAGTAAACGTACTCCCTAATGCTTCAGAGTGGAGGGTGCCTTTAAGAGACATGGCCAAATAGTCAGGTTGAAATGAGAAAACATTTGGGCAGAAAGAATATGCTAGTTGTGTGTATATATTATCTGTGTATTTTTTTTTTTTAAATAGAGCTACCTATGAAATAAGCTCTTCTCAGGAAGCTGTTCCTCCTTTGTTATCTGCATTCATTAAGCTCCTGTGTGCAAGGTCCGTGCTAGATAAAGACACACAAATGCAACATTTGCCTCTGGCATACTGGGCAGAGCAAGAATAAACTAGGGCACAGTGTGAGAACTGTGTGCCTTCTAATGCCTGAAGCAGGGGTCTTCAAACTACGGCCCGCGGGCCACATGCGGCCCACAGAGGAGTCTTATCCGGCCCGCCAGGTTTTTTGGGCAGTGAGCACAGCCGAAGTGTTATAGTAGGAATTAGTAGTTCATATAGTCCGGCCCTCCAGCTCTCTGAGGGACCGTGATCTGGCCCCCACTTTAAAAAGTTTGAGGACGCCTGGAAGCTTAGCACTGCCCAGAGTGTCAGACCTGTACTTTAGTGCCCGGAATCAGCTTTGCTCCACTCAGGCCTAACACCATTCACAGAGAGCCTAGGTGTAAGGCTCTGGGCTGGATGCTAAACATGTGGTGGAAAGAATAAGGTACAGCTCCCATCCTTGGACTAATGGGGAAGGAAGGTGACAAAATCATTTTTTATTTTTTATTTTTTTTTTTTACCAATGGAATGCCAGGGTACTGTGAGCTTACAGAAGAAACAAAACTATGAAATAGCATCAGTATGTGTCAGGAATTGTTTGATGATAATATAATGAAGGTAACGAATCACTAAATTATCCCTGGACTATGAGCTCCTTGAGGGAACTTTGTTTTGTCTGGCTTGTCCTAGGTACTTGTCGTTTAAGTACTTGTTAAATGAATTCATCTAGAAAGTGTTGCTAAGGTTCAGAGCTGATGGTACGCGGCGGCATTCGATGTAGACAGGATAAAATCAAGGAATCCGTGGTAAGAAGCTTGGATTTAATGATGATAGAGAAACACTGAGGAATTTCACATAGGAGGATAGCATGACCGGAATTGTGTTTTCTGAATTTCAAGGGGAATGAAGGGACTTTAGAGGCACAAGACTAGAGACATTTATATTATGATAATAAGCCGTTGCTGAAGTCCAGGCGAAAGCTGATGAGTTCTGAATCCTGTCTGAGTGCATATGAATTTTTTAGATGTGACATTGGTTTCTGGGCTCGGGTAACAGGGGCGGTGATGGTGCCTGCACTGGGTTCAGTGTATCTAGAAGAAAAAGGGGTCAAATTCCACAGTGACCAAGGCTCTTGTTGCACTTGTGGCTTCTGGCTGCCCTTGGAGACTGTCCTGGTGTCACAGCACAGGACCAGGGGACATCTCCCTGGAAATCCCCTTCCTGGAGACACCCCTGCCTGGAAATTCTCTTCTGGGCTGTGCCCTCCCACTTCTTACCCCATCCTCCCCAGCTGGTACCATCCCTGCAGGAGGGACAGTCTCCTCTAGAAAAGAAGCCCTTCTTCAATGGCCCTAAACTCTCTCTGTCTCCACGATGCCCTTTGGCGGTAGGGGAGGTCCTAAAATAAGCAGGCACAATCAGCTCCCCTGAATTTATTTCCATAAAGATCCCAGAATTAGGGCGGGAGCTATCCTCCATTTTGTGTAACTGGACGCTAGCCCTCACCCAACCAATCAGGGCCAGCCAAAGCTGTGACATCACCACCCTTATAAAACCCCTTGACCTGTCTTAAAATAAAAATAAAAAAAAGATACCAGAATTATTTTCTTCTAGACTGCTGGGGGTCCGGGGGACTGTCTAGAAACACATGGAGGTGGTCATGGGGGACAGACTCACCTTGGGAAGTTCCCTCCCTTCCTTGCCAGTGTCTCTCTTCTGCTCGCGGTAGTCAAACCCTAAAGCAGTGGGGTAGGGCAGGGCTCTAAGGCAGACGCCACTAGAGGAGGACTGCAGACCTAGGCTGTCTGCCTCCAGCTCCCAAGGGGAAACCCCGGGACCGCTCACACCCTGCAGCCCACCGCAGCGCTGCTGAGAGGCAGCGGGTGGCGCTCTTTTAAGACCTGGTTGAGCTATCAGGGGTGTCCTGATGCCTCCAAGTGAAAAGAAATGTAAAAAGCCTTTTCCCCACGAGGCAAGGTGTTTCTCTCACAGCACCTTGCCTCACGGGCCGCTGGCTTCCTGGCAATGAATGCACTTAGCACTCTGGCCACTTAGCTGAGCTCAGTATCTTCTTCCTGCGCCCTGACAAGGTCGGTCACTCAGGTGGCCAGGCCCTGCCTGTGTTCTTGCCAGCATACCTGCTCTGCCTCAGAGGACTATGGGACTCTCCTCATTCCTAGAGCCACCATCCAGCTGCCACCTGACTCTTGGCAAAGAGAGACTCATACAGACCCCTTCTGACACCCTCCTCCCCCCGGTGGCCAAGCCTAAGAGAACTTTTTTAGAGGAGATGGCTGCAAACCAGACAGCCCAGATAAATCATGAAATTCTGCACCCACACTTAGGTAAACCTATTCACGAGAATCAAAAGAGCAATTTGCTGCTATAGAAGTGGAGACGAGAGAAAGCCGGTAAGTGAAATGGGATCCAGAGCAAGCCACAAGACAGGGGTTTTACTTTAAAGGAATAGAATGAGCTATGATGCCCACAGGAAGTCCCCGGACTCTGTGCTGGGGACGAGGAATCATTTGATGTGGGGATAGTTTCTTCTCTGCCGCACAGTAAGCTTTGTGAAGTCAGTTCTAACCTTTTCCAACCCCCTGCTCCAATGTCCAAACACCTTTTTTTTTTTCCTGATGAAACCTCCCTCACTAGAAATTCAAGTCCCAGCCTCAGTTTACCCACACTGTTCTTTCTCTCCATCTACCTCAGACAATTGGTACTGAAATGACCATGAATATAGCTTTCCTATTTCATCATATCTAAGATGCACCCTTCTTCATATGCTACTGAAGTGTTGCAAATAGAACATCCCATTCACTGTGAGTTGCACCCTGATTCAGAGACCCGAACATTTGGAAAGAAAATGCGCTGCTTAGAAGCAATGATTGCAATACCATTACCTGAGCAAACATAAGTGGATGGGAAGTCCAAGTGGATTTTTTGACTTCAGAAAATCCTCTTTGTAAGTTAACAAGCCCTCAATACCAGTGGATTTCAGTGACTGGGTTTCCTCACTGCCAACAACATCTACGTCTTAGACCTTAGTGTAGAGGAATGTCATGGAGAATTCTGGAAGTCTGGCAAAACACTAGCATACACCATTTTGAAAAGGTGCCCAACAACGAAAGCATCATGAGTTTAATGTGTTTAATGCGTGTTTCTATTTAAAGTATTGTGTAGATGATAAAAATGAGTAGAGGATAATTTTTACAAGCAGGAACAGAACTCCTCAAAGCTTCAACATCTTTGCAATATTTGAACCAATAAACGTTTCACCTTTGTGTATTTGTGAACAGATTTTTGAATTTTGTGGAGCTGATGCTAGCAAATTAGAATTGAAGATTCAAGAACTAATGTAACCTGATCTCCAAGACAAAATACACTTGCAGCATTTTAAAGCCCACAGCCAAGTGTTTGTGTTTTCATTTCCAGCAAATATTGTGATATTCAACTGTGCTCTCTCCTAATGCGCTGCAAGTTGAATTTTCTGCTTGCCGCTCACTGAGAAATTCTTAATAGCCTTGGGCTATCAGAGATTGTGGTCATTCCCATTCTCTAAGATGTCCTTTCCATTGAGCACATTCCTGAGGCAATATTGTTATGGCCTTCACAACAGAGACCCTGTCCAGCTACTTAATATCAGGTCATTGGGATGGCTCCAGAGATCACCAAAGATGGGATTCTTCACAGTGATCTAGAAACCAATAAATGCCTCATTGCCCGGGCACTCCAAATATACAGAGGCTTCTTCCCAATAAAGCCATTGTTCGTGGTTCAAAATTCTTTTCCAGCATATTTCTCTCCCTCGTTGCCTTTCTAAAATGATACTATAATTTTGTTTAAATCCCTCAAAAACAAAAGCCAGAAAGACATTTTGAGATATATATATATATATATATATATATATATATATATATATATATACACACACACACACACACACACACACACACACTCTGTTTCCCCAAAAATAAGACAGTGTCTTATATTAATTTTTGCTCCCAAAGATGCGCTAGGTCTTATTTTCAGGGGATATCTTATTTTTCCATGAAGAAGAATAGGGTACACATTTATTGTTAAATGAAAAGAAAGGGAATTTATTACCTGTATACGGTATGGTAGTACAGTAGTTGTCAACACAAACCAGACAAACTGTGAATCCTACAGTATCAAGAATTTACTCATTTATTCAATGACAATCATGTCATCATCTTCTGGAACATCATCATAACAATCCAATTCCTGAATTTCCTGGTGAATTTCTTTGACTCCATTTCTTTCAGAATCAGTGGACCAAATCTCTCATGTTTAGCATGGCGGGGGGATCTTATTTTTGGGGGGATGCCTTATATTTTATTCAGAAGGAAACCTGTAAGTAGGTCTTATTTTCGAAGGATGTCTTATTTTCGAAGGATGTCTTATTTTCGGGGAAACACGGTGTAATATATATATTTTAAACTGAGATTGCTCAGACCGTGAGAGATCAGAGAAGTTGGCTGCTTCTCCTATTGACTGCGCCTCCTGAGGGCTGCCATCACATGAACACCAGGGGTTTTACGTCGTGGAGCCAGCTCTCCCTAGCCATCAGTGACTGAGGTTTTGACAAAGCATAGGGTCCACGGGCCCTGTTAGAATTTTTTGGCATGCAGAGCAGAGGAAATCAACCCATGCTAGCTTAAGCAAGAAGCAACACTGATTTACCATTCAACAAATATTTATTGTGCACTTACTCTGTGCCACGCACTGCTATGGTCCCTTAAAATACAACTGGATGGATAGAACCCCAAGTCAGAGATACAGCCAGCCTTTCTACGAGAACAGCATTGAGGAGAGAAGGGGCCTGGAGGGCCCAGGATGGTTCTGAGGATGTCTGTCCTCTGCTTTTTTCCTCTTCTCATCTGACTCACCATTCCCGTTGTTTTGGATAGGTGTTCTTTACTTCCCGGTCCTCGTGTGGGAAAGTATTCCCTGAGCATTACTCCCAAGTTACCCCCTCCATTCAAGAGACCAGCCAGACTGCGCCTCAGGAAGACCAGCCAGTGGGTAGGATCACAGGATAAACACAGTTTTGCTCCTGCTGTAAGGATAGGGGTGGGGATGGCAGGGATCCCAGACAAGCAAGAGGTTGGAAAGACTCAAAATATTGTGTCCCATACTATACATAAATGCTTAAAGCAAAGTAACAATTTAAAGCAAAACGTATTGGGCAAGAGAACATATATCCAGTTATGCTTAAGTATATACATAAGTATTTATGTACTTACCAGTACGTGTCAGGCAATATGGCCTTCAAACAGAGACCCTGTCCAGCTACTTAGTATCAGGTCATTGGGACGGTTCCAGAGATCACCAAAGATGGAATTCTTCACGGTGAAGAGCCCTTTGCATGTATCCCTCGTTTGACCACTGCAACAATCCTGTAAGTAGCTGTGTGCTGGTAAATACTTAACCACTGGCTGTGTGTGGGGAGGGAGAGAAGGGGGGACAGGGGTAGTCCTGATTTGTAGTGATTGCCAATTTCTATGGTGTAAATATTTGGTAGATTTCAAGCTACTAACCTGACCTTGCAGAGTATGGAAAAGATGTATGCTAAAGGCTCTTATGAGCTGGGTAAGATTTGGCTCCAGGACATCACCCCATATACATGAGGTACTACTTTTACCCCTGTTTTCTTACAGAGGAGAGGACAGACACAACATGGTTCAATGACTTGCCTAGGTTTTCCCAGGTGAATCTATATGTAGACCTCAAGCTGTCTGGTTCTAAAACTGAGACCAAGAATTGAAGAAAAATAATACAGCTGGGCTTATCACAATGCCATCTTTATTTTAAATTTTTACCAGTCACTCTCACTGCTTGATAAATATAGTGTCAAAAATTTCCAGTCATCTTATCTGGTGCCCTCATCTCAGATAAGAGTCTATTGGAGAGGTTTTGAGCACTTCCAGGACTCTAAACCATAACCACAATTTACCTGATTCTTTGTGCCATGTGTTATTTGCACCTCCTCAGTAGTTGGCAAACTGCAGCTCTGCGAGCCACATGCAGCTCTTTGGCCTCTTGAGTGTGGTTCTTCCACAAAATACCACTTCCTGGGCGAGTCTATTTTGAAGAAGTGGCGTTAGAAGAAGTTTAAGCTTAAAAAAAGTTGGCTCTCAAAAGAAATTTCAGTCTTTATAATGTTGATATTTGGCTCTGTTGACTAATGAGTTTGCCGACCACTGCACCACCTCGTCTACTCATCCCTAATAGGTTCTTAGCATTGTCAGTATGCACAAGGAAACAGACACAGCATTTGATTGGTCCAAGGTCACAAAGGAGGCGAGGAGTCAGGACGCGCACCCAGGTCCATCCGTCTCCAAGGCCCACAATGAAATCTACAGTTCCATGGAGCCCCTTTCCAGCCTCCACAGGCCTGTTGCAGTTCTGCAGTCAAAATGCAGTCGGCTTCAAGTCCACAGCCCTTCCTGAGAGCCCTTCCTTCTTCCTGGTGTGCGAGTCCAAGGACCATGTGTGTCCCGGCCTCCCAATCCCCAAGCACAGTTCTCTCATCTCTCAAAGTTTGCATTAAAGAATAATAATAATAATAAAACGTTCAGACTCACTGTATCATTTCATCCCTGTAAAGATAATAACGTTATTTAACCATAACAAAATATTTTACCTAGCTCCATCATCTGCAATAAACACATCTTGAACGAGCTTAGAAAGTTCTGGCTTATTGTCCACATTTTGCTCACCTAGAATCACAGATTTCAGTCTAAACTTAAAATCCTATCTCTCTCCCCTCCCCCCCTCATTTTCTCTGGGGCACAGTCAAAGATAGCTCTGGCAAAGTTAGGCAGTAGATCAAGTTGAGACCTTCTCCACTTCTCCACTCTCAGTTCTAGGACCTCTTCCTCGCCCAGCTTTCCTTCCTCCTCCCTCCCACTCCTGTCACCCCCAGCATATATTTTACATTGATTCCCTCAGAGCCTTCTTGCTCTCAGTTATCATTGTTTCTCCACTCATTCATCCCCCAGTCATTAATTGAAGGTTTTTTTTTTAATATATTCTATTGATTTTATACAGAGAGGAAGGGAGAGAGATAGAGAGTTAGAAACATCTATGAGAGAGAGTCATCGATCAGCTGCCTCTTGCACACCCCCCACTGGGGATATGCCTGCAACCAAGGTACATGCCCTTGACCGGAATCGAACCCGGGACCCTTCAGTCCCCAAGCCGACGCTCTATCCATTGAGCCAAACTGGTCCTGGCAATTGAAGGGTTTTTTATGCGAGCACTAGGCCTATCCTAGGGATGGGTAGAGTACCAATACTACTTCAGCCAGGGAACGCCCTCTGCAATGGAAGCTGAAGGAATGAGAGAGGCCCTGATCAATCTTTATACAAATGCAAAGTGATACAGATAAACAGGTGAGCCAGTGATGCTCTTAGAGGTTGGGCAGGGGATGGGGTTGATCTCTGTCTAACCTTGACTTGCTTATCTTTCCCTTCAGGATGTTTAGCTTGGTCACTCCCGGGGAGCACGTTCTTACTCATCTCTAACCCCCTGGTATCCAGCCCAATGCCCAGACCCGAGAAGACCAAGGAGACATGGCCACTGAATGCAGCGTGGTGCCCTGAATTGCAGCCTGGAGCAGAAAAAGGACATAAGTGGGGAAAATGGTAAAATGCAAGTAAGATCTGGAATTCAGTCTACAGTAATTAATGTACCAATGCGGAACTTGGTAAAATACTGAGGCTCAAGCCCACAGGCTATAGCATTTAATTCTCAAGCAATTCTGTGGTCAGACTGTTCTCATTTTACAAGCAAGTTCAGAGAGGTGAAGTGCCTTGCCCAAGGTCACCCAGCTAGAAAATGACTGAGCCCAAATGTGAACCCAGGTGTGCTAGAGGAAGTCAGAGGAATGATGTACTCAGAGGGGGAGGAGAAAGGGTACGGGAGGGGAGGAGGAGGGGCAGCGTGCCTGAGGCAGCCAACCAATGATTTTCTCTCATCATTGATGTTTCTATCTCTCCCTTTCCCTTCTTCTCTGAAATCAATAAAAATGTGTGTGTGTGTGTGTGTGTGTGTGTGTGTGTGTGTGTGTGTGTTGTGTTTAAAGGAATATGTAACAATGGGAATAAGAAGTCAAAGAAAAGCCGTGAAGGAAGAGTTTAAGCAATATATCGGATTTCCAAAAGGAGCTGCGGCCCAGGTGGGTGACCCTTATTCATTCTCCCAAAAAAGATGGGCGGTCCTGCAGAAACCTCAACACTGAAAAGGCCAGGAGGGAGCCTGCAACCAGGTAAGAAAGCAGCCCTGGCTGGCCTCGGGGCCATGTCACTTCTGTTACCATTTACTTACATCTATTCACCTTTTGAATATGAACAAATCTTTTTATTAAAGGGAAGATGAGTATTGTTCTCAGAACAAAACTTGAAATAAACAAAATGCATTGAAAACAAATGATTTTGTTTTGAAGTCTAACTGGGTATATAGCTGGTCAAAGACTCAGAGGCAGAATTCTCTCTCCTCTGTCCTCCACTCCCCCTCTTTCTCCTCTCTCTTCCTACTTATCTCTCTCCCTCTCTCTTTCCCCCTTATTCCCTTTCTGCCCTCCCCCCTCCAACAGAATGAACTACTATAGACATTTTAAAGCTAGAATAGCACCAAATTAAGACTTTCTTCTTGAGTAACCAGTATTGAAAGAAAATAAAAAAAGAATCAGGAGGAGGTATATGAGAACTCTCTGAATCTCTGCTAAATGTCTTCTAAATCTAAAACTGCTCTTAAAAGTCTATTAATTTTTTAAGTATACATATGAAAAAAATTGAGCTTTAAATTGGGGGGTCGGGGGAGAGAGAATTAACCTTCTCCCTATATGAGTCAAAGTTGTTAATGGTGCATTCCCCATACAATCCCTAACCATCCGAATTGTTCCCTGAAATTGTTCCCTCACCGTAATGTTGGTCCATGGCCCACATTTTGTCAAACACTACTAAGCCAAAGCCTGATAACATGGAAAAATAAGAAGAAAAAGTATAGGTTGGATGCTTCCTGTCGATGGCAGAATGAAGCGGTGACTCCTTCACCTTTCCGTCAAAGCCCTTTGAGGCCTGACCCACGTTGCATTTATGCCTTTCTCCCATTGCCCATGCATCCAGCCATTATCTCAAACTCTGTGCTCACCCCTGTGTCTGGAGTTTCCTCTCCCCATCTCTGCCTGTCAAGTCTTATTCAGGATCACCCAGGAAAGACATCCTTCCTTCCCGCCAGCCCATCCAGCCATGTGCAGATGGGGGAAGCATTCCTCCTCAGGTACGGCTAGGGTGCTGTGTGGGCCCAACCACCGGAGCCAGCATCCTGTTTAGGGTATGGTGGATTTTTATGTCTGTCCCGGGTTACCAGATACAGTACGTGGCACCTAGTTAAATTTGCATTTCAGACAAAGGATAATTTGTTAGCAAATGCCTCATTCAGTATTTATTTTTTATTTGCTAAGTTTGGCAATCCCATGCCTGTCTCCAGTGAGACTCAGCTTCCTAAGGATGAAAGCAGTGGCTTTGCTTCCGTGTGAATGCAGTACTGAGGACACCACCAGGTACTCAGTGGAGTCTTGGTAGTAACTAGTGAATGACTGCTCTCCAGTTCCCCCAGGAAACCCCAAGATTTCAACTAATATCAGGAACACATCTCTATTTCTAGCTAGCAATGCAGGTTTGGCAGGGGGGAAGATAATGTGCTCAAATGTAATACATTTATAATTCCTGAGCTACATCCGTAGGAAGGAGCAAAGGTGTCCATGTTATTCTCCATCTTGTCTTTAGCACACGTAGTAACAAGTCACAACTGCATGGATTCTCTATACTTTACGGTCTACAGTCAGCTCCCACATACATCACATACGAGGGTGAGAACATGGTACACTAAATCCAAAAACAGGCAGAATAAATAGCAGCAGCAGCAGCCAAGGACAGATCTAATCCATGTTGGGACCAGTTCTGTCTCGATGAATCAGGTACGCAATTAATCATCATGTTTTGCTTTAGTGCTTTCCTGTGAGGGGAGTGTGCGCGATGGAAGAATCACAGACTGGAAAGTCAGAGAGACCTGCGTTTGTGGTTATGACTCAGCGTCTGCCAGGAGGGAGCCCTCACTGGGACTCAGTCTCCTCAGCTGTAAGCCAGGTTCTCATGGCAACTCCGAAAGGTCGATGTATTAAATGGAATATGCACATGACATGTTCTGTATGGTACCTGTCCATAGCAAGTGATCAAGGGTAGAAACAATGATCGTGACTAGGATGATTGTTTTCTACTATTCCAGCCAGATTATAATCTCTTTGAACTATTTCATTCTTTCTTTCCCTCCCTCCCTTCCTTCCTCCCTCCCTTCCTTCCTTCTTTCCTTCCTTCCTTCCTTCCTTTTTTCTTTTTCTTTCTTTTCTTTCTTTTCTCTCTCTCTCTCTCTCTCTCTCTCTCTCTCTCTCTCTCTCTCTCTCTCTCTCTCTCTCTCTCTCTCTCTCTCTCTCTTTCTTTCTACATCATTTGTAGCCCCCGACAGCCTCTAGTACAATGTGCAGTAAAGTGTATTCATCAGCTAGACATCCAAAGAGACTGAAGTGTTGTAAATGTTCAGTGTTTTATTGCCTTTCATAAAGCTGGCAATATTTAACCACAGCAGAGTAGGGTGGGACCAGAAATTAACCTTTGTAAGAGACTGGTAGATTGCACACTGTCTTTTTGCAAATAATTGAGAGACTACGTTTGCGCAATAAGAAGCACGAGAGAAATCAAGACATAGTCTGTTCTTGCTTAAAATAGTAAAGAGCCATTTTGATGGAAAAACCATTCCTCCCACATTTCCCGTCAGGATGTCCTATCACATATGTGTCCTTATCACGGCACACACCACTGGGAACACACCTCGGTGACCTGGTGCTTGCCCTTCTCACCAGCTGCCCCAGGGAAGAGTTCAGGATGAGGGGTCATCTGCTCTCCGCAGAGGGACTCTAACCATATGGTCACCCTTCTCCAAATTCATCTTCATTCATGCCTACTTTAACAACAGCTATCCTTCAACTTGCAATTTCATATTAATATGTGACTTCAATCTAGCAAATTCTTCATTGGCACTTGCTTTTGTAAACATGTCACCCTCAACCTCCCAAATCTTTTTCTTGGATTCTCTGGCTTTGGACAATTTACTTTCCTGGGATGTAATTTTTTCCCCCTGTACAATGAAAACGTTGGAATACATGGTCTTTAAACTCCCTTTCAGCTCTGTTTCCTCAGTATTCAATCTCTCTATTTTATCTCTGCATCTCTCTCTTTTTTAAATGAGATTTATTCTCTTTTTTTGTTTGTTTGGTGTGTGTGTGTGTGTGTGTGTGTGTGTGTGTTAATCCTCACCTGAGGATATTTTTCCATTGATTTTTAGAGAGAGTGGAAAGGAGAGGACGAGACTGAAAGAAACATTGATGTGAGAGAGACACATCGATTGGTTGCCTCCCTGTGCGCACCCCAACCAGAGCCGTGGACCCTGCAACAAAAGTATGTGCCCTTGACCAGAATCAAACCCTGGATCCTTCAGTCTGCGGGTTGACACTCTATCCACTGAGCTCTGCATCTCTTTTAATTGAGCCAGTTTCCTCAATGCTAAGTTTACATCTATGAAATAACATTAATCAAATTTTTTTTCTTAAAATTTTAGCATTCATTTTTTAGTCAACTCAAATGTGTATTCAAGATAGTCAGGTAAAAAGAATCCAAAGATTGAGGTTTAGCTTATGTTAATCAGGAAGTTTACTGTTAACTTCTCTCACAAGGCTTAGGGATGGAAAGGATGGAAAACACTCAGTCTTTTGGTTGTGCCATTGTTGTCACTGTTGTTAGCACTGCAGTGGGGAAAATTCATATACTGAAATTATTCCATCCTTGTCTTTGCCTTTCATTGGGCCTAGGAACACCATCCACCCAGCCACCCTTTTGTACAGAGAAAGCCAAGATACAGGAGGAGGGGAGGAGCAGAATTAGCCATGAGGAGCAGCCTGTATGCCAAGGTGAGAATTCGATCGTCCCGACTTGCCTCTGCTGCTTCCTTATTGAGTCACCCTGTGTTTATAGTTTTATGAGAATCTTGTGCTTTGCAGGCTCCTTAAGTTATATCAGTAGTTATTCATTTCCTATGGTAAACAGTGTCTATCCTCTCCCAAGTGGACTTTATTAAAATGGAAGTTATAACAGATGGTGACACATCCAATTCCCAATACTCTTTTTTTTTTCTCTAAGGTACATTTCTAGGAAAAGGAGGAGGGAGAAAGAAACATCCTGAGAACAGTTCAAAGTTAGAGATCAGGTAGAGAAAGGATGGTAGTGAAGTGGATGGAGAAAAGGATGCTAAGAAGGGGGCAAGCTTCTAGAAAGGTGGGACAGGGGACAGAGGAGATAGACTCCATTTGTTTTATGGTTTCTCTGGGCTAACCCCTCTCCCCCCAACACACACACACACACACACACACACACACACATACACACACACACACACACACTATAGCCACTCTGGCTTCTTTCCAGTTTGGGAAGGCACTAACCTCTTTCCCACCACCAGGCCTATTTTACATGCTGTTTCCTCTTTCTTGGATGCTCCTCCTTCCACCCTTTTTGCCTCTTTACCTTTAACTCAAAGGACTCTTCTTCCAGGAAGCTTTCTCTGATTTCCCAGATTATAAAAAGGGCCCCCCCGCTTTACATTTTAATAGCACTGTATAGGTCTCCTTCCTGTTACTGCACAGTTGCACCTGTGCATTTTCCTCCGTTGTTGTGCGATTAAGGCCTATTCCCTTAGTAAGCTGTGCGCTCCTTGAGAGTAACCCCAGGTTTATGCTCACCACTGGCCCTATCTCCAATATATGACACTGTCTGGCACATAGTAGGCACCCGATGAATCAGGTGGTTGACCAATTGGGTAAGTCAGGCTACCATAACCTTCCTCAAGCGGCTGCATGAATGCTGAGGAAAAGTATTGTGCAATGGCTCACTGAGTATTTAGACTCTTAAGTCAGCCAGGATAAAATTCTGGCTCTGCCACTTACTAGCTTTGGAGCAAGTTTATTCACATTATTGTGTCTCTGCTTCCTCATCTGTGAAATGAGCATAACAATCCTGTGTTTTACTGACTCCAGATGCCCTCAATTGTAAGACACACCATGTACCATTAAGGAAAAACAACCCCACCAATTAACTAGAACACAGTGTTTTCTTATCACCGAGGCTTTTTTTTTTTTTTAACAAAACTGGCCCCTGTCCCATCATTAGGATTAGCCAAGCAGCATTTCTGAGAGAAGCACTCAATGGCGGATGCCTCAGCTGCTCCCAGCCCAGCCTGGGTGACTTTCTCCCATGCCACTGGCATCCATTCTGCAAGATGATCTCACTGGCAGGTGCCAACAGGAAGTTTCAGACCAGAACCAGGAAGGCATTAGAGAGAACAAATAGCTGAACACATGCCGCATCAGCAATGCTTGTGATTCAACTGAAACGCTGCCACGCGGTGCTGTTTTCAATACCAGGCCCAAGTGTGACCTTGTAGGCAATGTCCCCATCACTGCCGCCGCCCTGCAGGCAGCTCTTAAGAGAAGCAATGGCACCTAAGACACCCCTCACTTTCACAGAACTTGAGTCAAAACAGGTGCATTGGCAAATCTCATAGCCTAAATCAGTGATCAGAAAACTCATGAGTCAACAGAGCCAAATATCAACAGGACAACGATTGAAATTTCTTTTGAGAGCCAAATTTTTTAAACTTAAACTTCTTCTAACGCCACTGCCTGACTCATGTAGCCTGTGGTATTTTGTGGAAGAGCCACACTCCAGGGGCCAAAGAACCACATGTGGCTCACGAGCCGCAGTTTGCTGACCACGGGCCTAATTGATTGCATTATGTGTTGCTTTTATTTTATGAAACAGCCTATTTTAAATCTACATTAAACTAAGCTGAATACAAAGTTTAGTAAAGGAGGCCTAAGGGTCTTATTTACAAAACATGACCTCTGGCCTCAAATTCTCAGGAAGGCATATGTAATACTTTAAACAATAATAATAATAATAATAATAATGATAATAATAATAATAATAATCGTTCAGGAAGGGCATGGAAAAGAGCTTCATGTCTGTCTGTTTCAGCACCAGGGCCTGGAGCAGACTGACACCCGGAGCACCAGCCTCTGCAGCCGGTGATTCTTTGGTAAAGAAATCACTTTCCCAAATCCTCCAGCCCAGCAGCCGCTTTGGCTTAGGTCTGCCGTCTTCAGTCTCTTTAACGGCCCCTGTCACGATGTGTATGGTGCAGTTTTCCAACTCTGGATCCACACCCTCAGCTGGAGAGTCAGCAGCATCACCTCGATGGCTCCCTGCTCCCTTCGCCCTCCGAGGAGCAGCTGTTTCTGGGCGCTGCTGCCCGCCTGCCACAGCTGCTGCGCTTCTAGCCAGCAGCCTCCCGTGGGCGGTCAGAGGCGCCTCACCGGCCGGATACACGCACGGGCTGAGAGTTTGCCACCGAGGTAACGGCCACATCATCAGGCGACTGTGCGTGTAGCCTGTTTCCCAAGTTCCGGCTTTACCAGAAGGATCCATGTAAGTTGTTTTTCACAACTCCTCTGAAATCAGACCGTTGGTATTTTGAGAAGAACCCGTGGATGCGTGGCCTAGTCTTTTGCTAGGACCAGTCCTCAGGTTCGCACATCCAGCGGGTGGGGTGAAGGCCGGTACCCCTTTGGGAAGGGCAGCAGTCTCGGGGATGCAGGGCTACTGCTCGGAAGCCAGGTGGTGGTGAGAATTAAGTGCGTTAGAGTATATGTGCGTTAGAATCAACAAGTGCGTTGGCTTATTCATGTAAAACCCTGGGCGCACCAAACATTCTCACCATCTCCCACCAGACATGGTTGCCTCTTCCGGGCAGTCTTTAGCCACAGTGTTTGCGCCTAGGGCCGTGGTTGGCAAACTGCGGCTCATGAGCCACATGCGGCTCTTCCACAAAATACCACGTGCGGGCGCTCATGTACACTGCGATTGAAACTTCGTGGCCCATGCACAGAAGTCGGTTTTTGGCTCTCAAAAGAAATTTCAATCGTTGTACTGTTGATATGTGGCTCTGCTGACTAATGAGTTTGCCGACCACTGGCCTAGGGCACCTCCGGCAGGACCCGGCCAGCTGACCTGCTTAGATGCAAAGCTCAGCCCGGCCCTCAGCTGAACTCGTTCTTTCATTCATCAGAGCCATGCACACAATCAGGAGACAGAGCAAGTCAGGCTTTTTCTTTTCTTTTCTTTTAAATATATTTTATTCATTTTTTACAGAGAGGAAGAGAGAGGGATAGAGAATTAGAAACATCGATGAGAGAGAATCATCAATCAGCTGCCTCTTGCATACCCCCTACTGTGGATGTGCCCGCAACCAAGGTACATGCCCTTGACCGGAATCGAACTCGGGACCTTTCAGCCCACAGGCCGACGCTCTATCCACTGAGCCAAACCGGTTTCGGCGAAGTCAGGCTTTTTCAATCATTATGTGACTGTGGAACCACAGCTTCCCACTTGTTCTCCGCTGTAACCCCAGAGCCCAGGGCAGTGGTTGGCACTAACAGGTACTCAGTACACTTACTTCATGGAATGAATGGGTGAATCCCTCCCTGGCTACTTCCTATACCAGACTTTCTGGTGGTGGGATGGGGGTGTTCTCACCGTGGAGGGGATCTGACTCCTACCCGAGTCAACCGTGAGAAAGGCTTTGGCCCTCTGGCCTCTCCTTTGCTGTGGCAGCCTTTTAAATATCTCAGTCTGACGGGGCATTTTAATGGAAATCAATAAGTTAAAGGCATGTAATTAATTTTTATCATTTAGCTGCCATTGTAATTACTTATGGATCCAAGGCTGCTCGTGGGGCACCTGGCAAAAGGGAAAGCAAAACAGGAGCAGGTGTTTGGACTTGGTTCGTGTTTGCGAGCTAATTAGATGAGGGGTTTGGGGCGGGGAAAGCCTAAGCAGTCTTCGTTTGGCTCCAAGTTGGAAGTTGAAGTCCGGGAGCTTCAGCCAACTCTGTTGATCTTTCTTGCTTCTGGGATAGAAGGCCTCCTGTCGCTAAGACCTGTTACAACTGACCTCAGTCATGGGAAGTCCATTTTGTTGCTTAGAAGTATTCTAATGATGCCAGATTTTATGCAGCAGGTAAGAGCGTGGACTGGAGTCAGACTGCCATGGTTTGAATCTCAAGTCCACCGTTTTCTAGCTGTGTGACCTTGAGAATGTTACCTAACCTCTCTGTGCTCCAGTTTCAAAATCTGTAAAATGGGGATAATAATAGTATTTACATCCCTGGATTATGATGATGATTAAACAAAGAAACAATGTCTTGGACACAGTAAGTGCTATACAAGTGGGTTCTTAACCTTAAAAACAGACTTGAATTTTCAATACTTTAGTTCCCTGTAAAGGTTTTGTTAATAACTGATTATGCAATAATTTAGGCACATGGTAGAAGTTATAAACAGGTTTCTATCAAGCTTATAGGCAGTGCCTACTAAAAATCAAAAATGCAACTCCTGAATAAAGGTTAGGTTGTGTTTGAGGATTGTTCGGTTGAGAGTAGCAAGGTTTTGGGCAATATGCAAGAGAAATTCGCTCAAAGCCACTGGGGGCAGTGATGGAGCAGAACCAAGCCTCAAAAGGCAAAGGCAGGCCCCTTACTAGTAAAACCAGAGATGTTTCCCTCTTGCATCACCGCCCTAGAGAATTCTTCTGAATTTGGCCTGAAGTCACATGCCTACCATTGGGCTTTGGGATGAGGAGCAGCTGTGGTGCCCTGATGGCTACTCCAACAGGATTACAGGGAATGGAGGAGAGAGAATTCTCCCAAGGCCCAGCAGGATGTTACTAGCCAAAGAGGGGGAAGGGGAGCTAGGCAGGCCAACGCTGTAGCTGACCCCACTCCCCACAGTGAAGAATGAAGGAGGGAAGATAGTTTCAGAATCCTATTTATGTCTGTACTGTAGGCTTTTCCAGGCATTTAAATACGTTTCTCTCCCCAGAGGGTACTCTCTGAGAGGCGGGCTCACCCCAGCACTCACGCAAAAAGAACAGCTATCTGCCCATCATGGTAAACTGCTTCTTCCCCGGCCCAATGAAGCGAATCGCCAGTTATTTGTGTTGCATTCATTTAAATGCTAATCTTTGCCTCACAAATTTCATAATAGCAATAATTTCTAGTTCGATCAGAACACATTATGCTGAACTTTCAGAACCCCACAGACGATAAGCTTACAAGGGTGGCTCCGGCACTCATGAATTCTGTTTCCAGTTTGGTTGTGTTGGCTCCAAGTACAAAAACACCCAACCTTGTCACCGAAACACAAACGGAGCCAGCCAGGCACCTGGGCATCCAGATGTGCGAGAGGCATGGGGGCCCTAATCCAGCGGTTCCAGCTCTACTTCTCTGCAGTTACATGTACCTCGATGCTTTCTGACCTCATTTTCTCCCTCTGTTCTTCCTCTCAAAAAGAGGCTGCAGAATATCCAGCCTCACGACTGCACAAAACCACCTCTGGAGGAAGGGGAGATCCTCTCTTAATGCAGACCTCAGGATAAGGGAAGTGCCTCTAGAATCCTCTAGCGAGCTTTCCCCTCATCCCCATGGCCCAGATTAAGTCACGTGCCCAATCCTCAAACAACCCCTGTGGCCAAGGAGATGCCCTGTGCTAACTGGCTGAGATCTGGGTTCTCGAACCAGTCGCTGGCAAAGAGAATTCTATTATGTGCCTGGCCCCTCGGCAACCGGAAGAGGCGAATGTTAAAGAGAATACAGGGTAGGCACTCAGCTTTCTTTCTCCTTTAGCAACTGAAACACACTCCTGCCCCATCCCTATGTCTGAGAAATTACTAGTAAGACATAGCAGCAGATAGAGCCGCCTTCCATCGATAACAATAGACAACAGACACCATCCGCTTTCCGGCCTCTGTGACAGCTGGAGCAGGGGCGTGTAACAGAGACTCCGCGGATCACACACACTGTCTCAGTCAGGTTCCTTTGAGAACCCAGGATGCAAAAAGCCAGGAACCTCCTGGAAAATCCACGTGCGTGGCAGCGGTAGCTTGTTTCCAGGGATAGCAATGGCAGTAGCAATGGTACATTCAATATAGGATTGCAAATGAAAATACAGAATACTCAATTATGGAAAGTTCAAATTCCATATTTTTTTAAAAAGCAATTGTTTAGAATTTTGTTTTATTGAGTTACATTTTTATTTATTTTATTTTATTTATTAAAGCAAATACATTTTTTTATTTTTTTTATTTTATTGATTTTTCATAGAAAGGAAGAGAGAGTGATAGAGAATTAGAAACATTGATGAGAGAGAAACATTGATCAGCTGCCACTTGCACACCCCCTACTGGGGACGTGCCCACAACCAAGGTACATGCCCTTGACTGGAATGGAACCTGGGACCTTTCAGTCTGCAGGCCTATGCTCTATCCACTGAGCCAAACCGGTTTTGGCTATTTTTTTATACTTTATTTTTTTAATTTCTTTATTGATATGTGTCCTTATCCTCTCGTTACCCCCACCTCCTCTTCATGCCCCCACCCCCCAGTAGTCTGTGTCCGTTGATGAGGCTTATATGCATGCATATAAGTCCTTTGGTTGATCTCTTCCCTTATCCCCACTGTCCCCTACCTTCTCTGAGGTTTGATGTTCTGATTGATGTTTCTCTGTCTCAGGATCTATTTTTGTCAATCAGTTTATCTTGTTCATTATATTCCACAAATGAGTGAGATCATATGATATTTATCTTTCTCTGCCTAACTTATTTCACTTAGCATAAGGCTCTCCATCTCCATCCATACTGTTGCAAATGGCAAAAACTTTTTTTTACCACAGAGTAATAATGTTCCATTGTGTAGATGTACCACAGTTTTTTAATCCACTCATCTGCTGATGGGCACTTAGGCTGTTTCCAAATCTTAGCTTTGGTGAATTGTGCTACCATGAACATAGGGGTGCATATATCCTTTCTGATTCGTGTTTCTAGTTTCTTGGGATATATTCCTAGAAGTGGGATCACTGGGTCAAATGGGAGTTCCATTTTTAGTTTTTTGAGGAAACTCCATACTGTTCTCCACAGTGGCTACACCAGTCTTCATTCCCACCAGCAGTGTAAAAGAATTCCTTTTTCTCCGCATCCTTGCCAGCACTTGTCGTCTGTTGATTTGTTGATGATAACCATTCTGTCAGGTGTGAGATGGTACCGTATTGTTGTTTTTATTTGCATCTCTCTGATGATTAGTGACTTTGAACAGGTTTTCATATGTCTCTAGGCCTTCCTTCTATCTTTCGAAAAGTGTCTATTTAGATTAGTTGCCCATTTCTTGATTGGGTTGTTTATCTTCTTTTTGTTAAGCTGCATGAGTTCCCAGTAAATGTTGGAGATTAAACCCTATCATTGATATCATTGGCAAATATGTTTTCCCATGAAGTGGGCTTTCTTGTTGTTTCATTGTTTAGAATTTTTTAGTATATGTCCCAAATATTGATTGCATGGGACATATTGCATACACAATTTTTATTAATCATTTAAA